ATAGAAATATATATATATATATATATATATATATATATATATATATATATATATATATATAAATGGGACTATGGCAGGATATGGCAAAGCTAAAGCCGAGTTTGCCACGTCCGATGACTATCATCAACAGTTTTTGGCCACATCAACGTCGTCTCTAATTGGCTGTCGTTGCGTGGGCGGTTGCCATAACTGCTGAGCCCTGCCAGCCGCCTCCTGCCTGCCGTCTCCTGCCAGCTACCTTGTTGCAAGCGCGCGCTGCCTGTTAAATAATGCAAAAGGAAGACAACAACAGAAATGAAACATAAAATGTTGACGACTTTTATTGACGCTCGTTGCAGCCAGGTGAGATGCCAACACGGCAGGTGGCAGGGCGCAGGGGGCAGGGGCAGGCGGCAGGTGTGCAGCATGAGGCAGCTCTGACTGTGGCAGCTGACACAGCGCTTAAGATCTGGATCAGTCATGCAATCGAATGTGAATTGTTAAGCTTGCATGTGTGCGTGTGTGCGTGTGTGTGTGACATGTGCCGCATGCGGCTAGCAGCAATTGCATGAAAGGATTGCAGCAGAATGATTGAATGTTTGCTCGAGTTCGATGGGTATTATGTAATTATGTAAAGTACACAGAGAGCGAGAGAGAGAGAGAGAGAGACAGCGAGAGAGAGAGACAGAGTGAATGAGTGAGAGTGTGTGTGGATATTCATTGCAAAATATCCGACACAAAACAAGCGAATCTAAGGTGACGTTTATGTCAGCTTATTTATAATGAGTATCTTTGGAAATCAGCTAGAGGGACACGACAAGCATTTTATATTGGCTCGGAGCTATAAATGTTTTGCTATAAAATGGATACAGAAACCGAAACCGAATATCAAAGTGCGGCCTAAGCCAATGGGCGTGTGAAATCGTAAAGCAAACGTGAAGCACTCAAGCACTGTCTACATGAAAGTAAATTACTTCTTAAGCTGATTATGAGTAACGAATAAAAGGGCTCAATAAATGGTTGATGAGTGCCGAATACTATAATTACTTAATTTAAATAAGTTCAGTTAGTTTTGAAGCCATCTATTTTGCACTCTTGTAAGGGAATTTATTGAAGATTGATTTATGGCTTTAAGGCTTTTTTTTTAATTTATAAATGAGCCCCAAGTTCATATAGTCTATTCAAGGAAATGAGGCCTAATTCTATGTGCATCTATAGTCTTTATATTGCCATCGCTTTCATGTGAGTAGAGAGAGCACAGAATTCAAATATATATTACCAAAGTTTATGCTGAGCAAGCAAAGCAAATCACATACCCTCTGGCTAAGTGGAAGTTGACAAATAATCAAATCTTATTTCATATCACATAAAGTTAATTTAATAACAGTTTAAGCCTTATTTTTACATATGTACAGCTTAAAGCGATAAAAACAGGTTAGATTACTCAATAAGACATGGCAGGAGTTAAACCGACTAAAGGAGTTGACTTGGACTCACAGTTGAATTGAATATAGTTTAATAAAAGCTGAGTGTTATGTTAATATTGCAGTAACTACTCAATATCTGTCTAAATATATACATATATACATTTATATATACACTCATTTGTTGACTGTTCTTGTTCCACACTCAAGCCAACTGGCAGGTCGATTCAATTGGATGGCAACAAAATGTTTGACACTGTTTTGGTAATTGTCATTAACATGCCGAAAACATGCATTGATAGAGTCGTTGCTTAATAGCCCGCCACGCCCACGCCCCTCGCGCCTCATAATCAACTGCAATTAGTGTCGCATTAAAAAAGCAGACAACGACCAAGTCGAAGTCCATTGGCTGATTGGCCAGTGGCTGGCTGCCATCTGATGTTTTCTTGGACTGTTTGTTCGTTCGTTCATTCGTTCGTGCCGCAGGCAAATTAATTTTAATTTGTTTCTCTTATTTTTGTTGCTGGCCAGCGTGCCATTGCGTAATACGCAAGAGGAAGAGAGAAGAAAAAACCAAGTTAAATATGTTAAGTTATGCATGAGTTTTACAGCGATTCTTAATTGGGATTTGGGAGCCATAAACAACTCAGTTCATAGCATTTCTGAAGAAGTTTTTGCAATTGCTGTTGTTGTTGTTGCAGTTGTTGTTGTTATTTAGCGCACGTTTCATAAGGTGAATGTTCTCTGTCAATCGGAATTCCGAAACTTGATTAGAGGCGTCGGGGGCCGACATGTTGTTGGCAATTCTGTGCAACGCCGTCTAATCAGCTGTCGCACCTGCTCTTAATTAATGTACGTATAATGAATACAATTCACAATCTAACTGTCGGCATGCGCACAATAGAGAAATGTTTTATTTGTCAATGAATCGCACCCGCCCCGCCCCGCCCCGCCCCCCTTTTTGCGTCTCTCTGTCTCTGCCAAAGTCATCATAAAACAATGTGTAGAACAAAAATTAATTACTTTCCAGTTGTTGTTGTTGCCTGAACTAATATAATTATGTAGAGTATATACACATGTAGAAATATATATATGTATATATGCAAGTAAAGCTAAACCGATTTAATAGATATCGTTTAAATTGAGAGTCTTCAAAGTTTGATTTAATTACAAAATAGACATAAATTGCTAAATTGCTCGAAGAACTCGTTTAAGCAATGCTGATTAATTGCAAATACATATGTATGCGTATGTCTGTATGTATATAAAATACACTTAGATCACTTCTGCTTTTAGCTCGAATTCTGTATTAACTATGCCGTTAATTAATCGCTTGGCAATTATAATCGAACGCTTCGCTCTAAACAAATTGCTAAATCGAAAACAAAATTAATGGCTCGCGCTCTACAATTCGAAGATCTTCGCTTCGAAATTCCTTTTCGCTGCATGTGAACAGCAACGTTTGACCCCATCCATTGCTCCCAGCTGGCGCTGACCTTTGCGTGCCATTTATAACGGTCGCCGGCTGACTGAGATAGACTGCGGCAGCTTCCTCCTCCGAGCCTCAATCATCATCTTTTGTCCAACGCTTGATTTGATTTGCTTGCCTGATTTACAAACCGCGATCTCAGCGGCTGCTTGGCGTGGCCTAAAGTTCAAGGAGATTTCCTCTTTATATATGGTTAGCGCTGACAATTTATTGCGTTTGTTTGAATGCACAACCGTTGCTAGACATTTGCATACTCGCCTCTACTCCACTACAACTAATCAATAAATAAAGACAGCAACAAAAACTAAAAAAACCCGTCACGATTCGCGCTAAAAACGCACGCGTTTCGGGCGCGTTTTTTATGCGCTCTACTAATATGTTTATAATATGAATGGGTGCATAAATTATACGAAATATAATTTGATACGCAGAGCTCTGTCATAGGCCGACATAGACGATGCGTGCCCAAGATCGATACATCAGGGCCATCTATTTAGTTAATATCTGGTTAATGATCGAGCCAATGTGGCCCTGATATCAGTTCTGAGGCTAGGCATCAATGATAACAAGCCAGTTGCCTCGAAAGGGCAGAGATCTTGGATGCCTGTACTTGCCCATACATATGTATATGCATATTTGTATGCATGTACGTATGTATGTATGTCAGCTTTGTCTGTTGCAAGCTTCTTATGCATATTTGCGAAGGCAGATGCTAATTTAATGGCAAAATATGAACCGGACTGCAGACCGTTGAACCGTTGCACAGTTGCAGCGCGGAATGTGGCTTACCTTGAAGAAGATGCCCAGATAGTAGCGCTTCTCGCCCAGCTTCAGCAGCGGCATCGTCCATTTGTTTGGCGTGTACTGCGACTCGTCCACGCAGTTGGGGCAGTCTAAAAATAGAAATCAAGGAAGCATATCAGTAATGAAAATATCCCAAAACAACAAATGATCTTTTTTACATTTATTTATTTTTTTTGTTTTTCTCTTTGTAAAACGGGCATCGAAATATCAAGGTCGAAAAACAATATCAGCAATAAAATTGAATAAACAGTTATAAAAATACGATTTTAAATTATACAAGTTACGAGCCAAGACGATGCCAGCTTATGCATACAAATCAGCTCAGTTAAGCCAGATATAATCAAAAATCTATAAACCCAACTGATTTACTGAAATTACAAATCGCTTGTATTTTAATTATGAGAAGCGACTTGAGATAACTGAGGCATGCCTGACAGCTACTCGAGCTACTGCTCTTCTCCAGAATTTATTCGAATATAGATAGATGCGCATGTACATATATGCATATAGAGACGAACCAGAACAGCTATAAATTCAACTCGTCTGCTGATACTAAACCACATCAATCAATCAAGTTTGACGTGTTACATAAACGTGGACAAATTGCGCATACCTCGAGTGCACCACACCTCAACTCAGCCAGCTTACTGCTAAAGCCAATTAATCAGCCGTTCAATCAAAAATCATAAACATTGTCATTTGAATTGAATTTGCTCATAAAACAGGCAAATCTCCAGTTCTTAACTGATAAAACCTTTCAGCTAATTGCGTGCTCACATTTCGCCACATATTGAATTATGATGGCTTATTTATTGATTGAAAAACAGTGTAAATTGGAACTGGTTCGCAACGAGTTGAACCTGTTCATGAGCAGCGTGAGCCAGCGCTGAGAATGTTTGACAATGGCTTTGATGGGCTGGCGGGATCTATAAATGAAATCGAAACTAAATCGAGGTCAACGGCAGCTCACAATAGATTCTGACTGTGTGAAGGTCACAATGATGGCATGTATGGGGCTGTATTATGTGTGTAGCCAAGCTAACGGCATTTGTGTTTCTATTTTGTTATTTGATTTCTTTGGCTGTTGTAGCCAAGCTCAACAAAAGACAATACAACACGGCACACAAATATGGCAGGCAGCAAACATTTTCGCGAAATTTTGTTAATTAATCATCCGCAATGGCTGCCATTACGAGCCAAGGCCCTGCAGAAGGCGTCGCTAATGATAATTATAGAGTTGAATAATGGAATATTAAATTCGGCTGCCTGTGAACTGTTTGCAAACATTTACAATGAATGAGTGAGAATGGGTGAGTGTTGGCTACATACATATTTATAAAAATAAAACAAGTGCACATAAAATTTATTTAAATATGAAAATGTTGCAATTGGCGTTGCCAATGAGCTCCAAAATGTTGCCATTTGCATTTAATGGTATATATATAGAGCTAACAGAGTATGAAGTACACAGAAGTAAGGCTAACTTTAAGATGTAACTGAATAGGTTAATGTGTTCATTAGACAGCTTGGATATAGTCTGTGTGGGTGGTGCAGAGAAATATGGCTAAAAAATTCAGTCAGAAAACGTCAGAAGTTGAGCTGTGACGTTTGCCTAGGGAAGACGTGGCGTATGAGCAATGTCTTTGGCATGCCAAATAAAAGAAGAAACTGCTTCATATGGTATAAGAAATATGTATTGAATAATGCTTGCATGCAGTTAGATCAAGCTGACTATAGAAAGACTTGCTGTAAATTTAAATAAATATTATAAATACCATACAATAAATTATAAAAATTATTCATATATTATTAAATTATTTCATATATCAATCAATCATTTGTAAGCTGATCACGAATTCTGAAATAAAGACTCGATACATATAAACATGACTACATGATGGCCCGGTACTTCCGCTCACTCCAAAACTCCAGAAGCTGCTTGCGATTTTTCACCCATTTCAATTTCAATTTAAGAAAAAAAAAAGAAAACTTTCCATGGCATTGCATCATCGCATTGAAGCACGGCTTGTTAATTGACGGTGTCAAGTCGAGTGCCCATAGAGATTAACCGGTCTGCGAACTGCATAAAGCCGAGGATCACACGAGACGGGCAGCGCGAATTGAAGGTGCAAATTGATGAAGTTTGCAGTCAAACTTAATTTACTTGTGTGTTTGAAGACAAAAGTTTTGCTATAAAATTACCGTTGTTTATTAATAAATAAAGTCAATATTTAGTATAGATTTTATGGTTTATTATTCATGCGTTGTTATGGCAGTTTCTTTGGCAGGCAATTAATTTGCCTGCTGACAGGTAAACCAGTTTCAATTTTCAGCTCAGTTTCGTGCAGCTCAAAGGGAGGGCGTGGCACCGGCAACGGCAACGGCAACGGCAACGGCAGTCAAAGTCAATGCCAATGCTTACAATAAATATACGAAAATTTCCTTTAGAGAATTCGAGTCCAATTAAGAGTGAGTTGGGCAAGGTCAGGCGGATATCTGTGGCGTTGCGTAAGTAATTAAAGGAATTCTTTAAGACATATCCTGAGCACTCAACATAGCTTAGCACTTAATGGAAATTCAAGTGACTCTGGCTGAGCAGCTTCCTGTACAGTAAATGTATTTTATTTTGTGCTGATTATTCAAAATTTTAAACAATGGAATTTAAATTTAATTTTAATGTTTGCATGTTTTCTTTTATTATTTATATGATGTTAACCCGTTTTCGACAATTTTATGTTTGCATTCTGCATATTTAAGCAATTTTTTTCTTTTCGTAGAAGTCAGTTTGCTAACAGCTAAAAAAAAATGGAAAACTATAAATAAAAATCTTTTTTTGTACCCCCTTTGACTTGCCTTAAAAAGCATTTGATTAGTTGTCAAGATTGCAAATCTGCTTGAAGTTTTCATATGCATCGAACCGCACAACAGGTTTAATTAATTCCGAAAAAAAAAAAAAACAAATGTTTGTTGCTGGGCAAATCGATCTATGTCATGTGGGGTCGGCGTTTCTGCTAGCCTCAAGTATACCCTGTAAATTATGCTCATCAACATGAAACTAATCTCAATTAAGGGTTTACCCAGCTCTAATAACTTTATTTCTGAATATCACGCATACGCAGTGTTGCCCTGCGTTTTTACACAAATTTGCATGTTCACTTATGCATAAATCTAGATAAATTCGGCTGATTGCTCTATTTATTTTATCCATCTGACCCTGGCCTTCTGTTCCGCCCACATTGCTCATTGGCAATCAAATTTATGCGTTCCTTTTAGTGATTTATTGCTGCTTTTTGTCGGCTCAACTCTGGCGACAATCAAATATTTCAACAGCCTACCAAGAAAACAAAAATGAAGCAGGTGTAACAACAACTAATTCCATTGATTGCTCAAAGCAAACCTTAAAAAAAAAAAACACCAAAAACAAAAAAATAAATAGACCGAAAACTGTAGCAAAGCGAATCAATCAATGGAATAACTCAATACGACAGCAGCCGACGACAAAAAAAAGCAAATACAAATACAAACAGAAACAGTAACAGTAACAGAAAAACAGAAATGTGTAAACAGCTCCTTAATTAAACGTTCGGCGTAAATTTCAATAAAACACAAATAAATAAATGCTAAATGTGGAGAGTGAAAGTCGATTGAGCATAGATAAGCGCGGGCCGGAAGGATGTGCCAGCGAGCGGGTATTATGCAATCGCTCACACTTATAAGACTTTGGTGGATGGATTAAACGTACCAGCTACAGGACCCGATGCTTTGCTCGGCGTTGCCAATGTCCTGTCCACGCTGCAGCTGAGCAGCTGCAGGACGATTATCACAGACAAAGCCAAAGATGTTTGCATGATTTGTTTTTGTTTAGTTTCTTTTTGGTTTTGTTGGTTTTTCTTTCTGTTTCGTTATTCGCTGCGTCTAAATAAATATGGTATATGTTTATTGAAATAGTTCAGTTGAAAAATGTATTTTATTAAAAATTTATTTATTTATGATTTTTATGTGTTTCTGAAATATTTCAATTCCAGTTATGCAAATTTTGCACTTCCGTAATGATAGCAAAACCAAAACAAAATTTCGCTGCCTTCGTTGCTTTTCAACGCATTTTCGTTCGAAATTTATGAATCTGCTGCAGCAGCCCGAATTAACATATGAATTTTTCTTGTATTTAAGAGATGCGCGTTTCTTTCTTTATCACTCGCTTTGTATTGTCAGCGAGTTGGCGTCGAACGAAATCGAAAGTTGCTAAAAAATTCAAATCAAGGCGGCGCACAATAATCGAAATATAACTAGCCAGATATTATTGGGATATATGTAGGTATATGCACAGCTACAACTATATGTGTATATATGTATATATCTATATATTTCTTTTTATATGTTACAAGACTGAAAGACCCGTGCGCATGCGCGCCCAAACTGACCGTCGACTGGCGAAGAACTAACCAATTCGGAGCGCTTGGACGCCAACTTACGCAGAATTCACCAGAGAAACACGAGAGAGCTGGAGAGAGAGAGAGAGAGCGAGAGCGTGCCGCTCAGTGCGAGAGCGGGACAGGTTCAACTGGTTGGCTGGAGCGACGCTGCAACTCGTTTGATGAGGTTTTTTTTTTGTTTTATTAAACATTTTTGGTTTTTTCGGTGAAGATTAGCATCCGAGCTGGGATGTGCTGCTCTGTCCGTCTGTCTGTCTCTCTTACTGTGTGTGCGTGTGTGTGTGGACACTTGTTGGCGTCTGTCGAGTGTTGAGTGGGGCCTGCAGCTGACACTTGACGTAGCAGCCACAGCTTCAGTCGAAGTCGAAGTCGAAGTCGGAGTCGGAGTCGCAGTCGTTGTTGGCCCACCAAGGTAACCATCAGTGGAGCGTGCTTTAATTTTTTTGACATGCCCACAAAAGAGTCGAGCTTGAGCATGAGACAAAAAACATGCAACAACAAAAAAACAAAATACAAATACCGCAACATCCAAAAAAACACTCAAGTTTCAAGCAATTTCTGATCTGTGCACCGCAAAGTTCTCTCGATTCTAAGATTTTGCAATTTCACTGATGCTCAGTTTCTGTTACCAAGCCAAGCTTCGAGCTGCGGCTACACAATGCCATTTGTGGCGGATGCTTTCGCTTTCGCTGCGAGCCGAGTCACGCGACTGACCTTGACAGCAGCTACGCTGCGTATACGTAATATGCACACCATCTGACGCAGCACTCAGAATGTTTATTTGAAATTTGAAATTCATTATGCTTGATACAAACGTGGATCGTTTTATGATGAACATGCAAGTCGATGTGGGAATCCGGCTTTCTTTTGTTAGAATCAGCTCGAAATTCATTTGCTTTAAATGTCACAGAAGAAAACTTTGATATGAGCAAAGAAAGAAAAATAATTTAGATTCATATATATACAAGCTGTCCATGTGTATACCATATATACACCTCAATATAAATTCAAAAATATTACACTAGAACGAAACAGCAAAATGTATCGTAGCAAGGCATCTTTTCAGGTTGTCGAATCGGACGCAATGAACGAGGTGAAGAAGTGGATGCCATTGGTGGAATTTCTGTCAAGCGCCATTTTAATATGTGGATCATTTCGTATATTTATCGCATTCGTCGCCTAAGGCGAGATGATATTTTGATACTTTTTGAATAAACGAATGAATATTTGAATCAATGTTGTTCGATGTAACTGGGAATCTTTGCAGCTAGTTCTTTGCTCTTGCCCGCCAAGCTGGACGGAGAAAAACACGTTTGAAGCTGCTTAATTATGTAGCCAGACATAAAAAAGCATTTGATATGATTAGCATTTGGCATTGATATTAGATTACAGCAGCAAATCCAATTTAAAGGGCAGCGTTCCAATTCATGGCGAGTTCCTTTGTAATAGAAACCTAATTGATCGGAGAACAATGTCGGAAGTGTGCCCTCTGCTACTTAATAAGTCTCTTTACTAAGTTACATCTGACATCTTGTCAAATTACGGCAATTAGTTGAGGAATTTCTGTTCTATCTGAATAATGATAGGCTCGCAGCTTTATAGCCGCAGGGCATCTCATTTGTTAGTTATTTACATTAATTAAATTACGTTTCTTGAAAACGAGTTTAGTTGGGGATCATTAATTTAACTGTCTACGTCACATCAACAAAGAACAATACTAATTCGCATAGAAAAATAGTTAATGGATCACTTGAATTTTTAGTATATGTCTTTAAAATATAATATTCATTATCTTTTGTATTCAAACTTGTTCGGCCTTGGCGCGTTGGGTAATAAATATAGCAAAAATATATAATTTACGCTCCAGGCGATTTAGAAACTTCATTAGAAAACATGAAATTTTCGATTCTGAGAACATTATAATTAAATAATTTATCACAATTCGTTATTACCAAAATTAAAATTAAATTTGAATAGTTAATATTTATTATATAGCTGCAAACATTTCCTTTTTTTACAATAAATATATTTTTTAATAATATTTAATTTTAATTTAACTTTAACTAACAACTTTAACTATAGAGACGATAAATATATATATATTTTTTTTTAATATTTTATTTTAATTAAATATTTGTTTAACTTCTCTAGCTTCTTTGTTTAAATATCATTTTGTGTAAACTGTTATCTAGCTAATTTTCTAGCAATATTTAATTGGCGACAATACGTTAATTAATTTGGCTCGCTTGGGTTCGTTTAACCCAAGCCGAACGGTTTTAAGTGATTCCCGCAGGCAGCTTGCTCAAGATTTATAGCTCTACTCGATCAGAAATAATCGTCACATTTAATTTGAGTATTTAATGTGCTTATAAACGAATTCAAATTCGATTTGCGATAAGAAAACAATGAGCTGCATTGAAACGACTTAGTTCAAACATCGGAGTCCAAATCAAAACAAAGATCGTAGCGAAGCACAGCTGCGGTTGCTGTGCGCATGGAGGTGTGAATTCAATGGGTACAGCTAGAGATTCAAAGGTAAATTGAAAACGAGTTTCTGTTGACTGTTCAGATGAGACAAAATATCGAATGATAAAGTTCAATATTGTACAAGTGCGAAGGCGATTGGCGACTGCAAGTGAAGTTGGTTAATCAAATCGAGTCGAATTAACGGATAAAGTTGCGCAAACAGTTGTTGGTATGGGCAGGGAAAACAAGGCATAAATTAAATGCAAACACTACGCAGACGCGGCAAATGACATAAGAAGCTGGCATCCATCATACGCCTCGTGAGCCATGAACCGCAACGGCGCGAAAACGACATTTACCACAACAACAAAAACGCTTTTGTATGCAAATAAATGACTCGCAGAGCGACACAATATGAAACTCAAGAACAGCAGCAGAGTGAGGCATATTTAATGCTCTTACTGGGTCAGCTGAATGCGATATTAAAAGAGGCTTTAAATACGTTAAGGAATTACACGAAATGTCTGCGATGTTTCCTCACCTCTATAGAGCAGAGTCTTCAACTGAGTAGTGATATAATATATAAGCTCATCACCTCTGCCTTTGCGTCGAGTGTGTAAATATTTACGGGGGCCGCATCAACAGCAGCTACTTAAGAAACTAAAAGCAAGGTCATATGGATGATACGATTATAAAAGCATCGCTATTTGTAATTTTTAAATAGAGCAGTAGCCTGCGACTTTCTATAAACATATTTGATTAGAAACAGCTTCAGATTCATTTATTGAAGAGGAGAAAATTTAGAGTCGTGCACAGATCGGAGCACATATAAATTGTAATTTCCAAAGTATTCTACACTTATATCCAGTACAGCAAGATGTATCGCCGTCAGCTATCTGTTCTGTGTCTCGATGGTAGCTCAATGAACGAGGTGAACAAGTGGACGCCAGTTATTGAATTTCTCTCAACAGTCATTTTGATTTGTGGATCATTTCGTATATTAGTCGCATTCCTATTTTAAGGCAGGATACGATGATGTGTGATGATGATATTTGATGTGAATAAATGAGTCTATCAGTTAATATCGTTTCCATTGCCTTTGCCTTAGACTATGTAAATACTCTCAGCAGCCGCTACTTAAGAAACTGAAAGCAAGGTTATTAACGGGCAGCTTGATGATGCGATTATTATGGCGATCGCTGCAGCTATTTGTAATTTGTAATTTGATGGATGGTCGTCTGTGTAAAGAAGGGGATCGAAATGGGGCTGTTTCCCATTCCACGCTTGATGTCTTTATGAACTTGATTAATGGCTTTTTTGTAGTTTTCCAACACTTACCGTTATGAATTGTATGTGTTGATTAATTTACTATGGCTGGTAATTAATTGCTTTCATTGAATCTATTACTTGGCTTGTGACGCGCTTATTATGAATTTAATAATGCTTTTATTGGCATTTTCCAACACTTAACACCTGATTAGTCTAAAACTGCAGCTACTTCAACACTTACCGCTATCAATTTCATTCTCGCTGGGATCACGTTGGAATATATTGCCGTAGTACTGATCGTGCTGCTCCGATTCCACGCTCTGCAGCGACTCCTGCACATCATCGTCGTACTCATCGTGCGGATTGCTGTTCGCCTGGGACTGCTGATCCGCCAGGTCCTCCTCCTCATCCTCGTAGGTCACGAGGCGGCTATTGGAGCTCGTCAGCCGCTTGCTGGCCGCCACAGCTGCCAGACGATTGCGCTGAGCTCCTCCGCCGCTCTTGAAGCTGTCGATGTTGGCCGCAAGGCCGCGTGGACGAGGATGAAGCGCCGGCTTCGGCTTGGGCAGTATATCCTCTATGGTGGGTATATTCTGGCTAACATTGCGATGGGGAAACAATCGGCGCTCCAGAAAGTTGGCAAAGATCTGTTGGGTTATCTGATTCTGGCGCGCCAGCTCGCTCTGATCCAGCTGAAAGTGATTGCTGTTGGGGCCCGGGCTGATGCTGTGGTTTCTGCCTCTTCTGTGCTGCGTGCTGCGCGTCGTGCTGCTGCTGGTGGCACCTGAAATTGGTTTGATGCACGATTAATCAATGTAATCATATGTGGGCCGCGGCCATTAAGCAATCCCAACAGGTGGCGAGCGCTTGGACCACTTTTGCTGGGGCAATTACATAAACGCCGGGCGGCCTACACTCACGCTGAAGATGAGTTGCAGAAAATCAAGTAATAAACAAGTAATAGTAGTTTAGTGAGCGGGGGATAGAGAGCGAGAGGGAGAGATGGCACAACTAGCTAATACCCTATGGTAGAGATGGTGAGAAAGAGCGAGAGGGCGATAGAGAGAAACATACGTTGTTCATTCTTGAGAGAGAGAGAAAATTAAGTTGAGTATAAAAAGTGAAAAGTGGAAGGTGTGCAGATCAGCTTATCTTGTTCACCTTTTCAGTTTACAGGGTATAAACACATGTACAACCTGTATAAGCAACTGGCTATCAATTAAATCTTAAGGTCAAGAGTTTATCAAGTCTTGGCTTAGCAGCTAAAAGTGCTCCAGACGAGTGTGCTCGACTAGCAGATGCGCTGCAAGGCAATCTTCTGTTCCAGCTGAATTCAGGCTAAACCAAACTTATTTGACCAGTTTTTGCAGCCAGTTCTGTGCGAGAACATTTAAGGCCAAGTCAAGCTATGGATATGTGCAGAAGCCACCCAAGAGTCTGTTAATGATTTGCTGCAATTTGAGTTGATAGACATCATGACGTTTTGCCTCAGTCGCTTAAGTGACATGCATCAATCAAATGTGTGGCCCAGAGACAGACGGGAATGCCCGCCGCAGCCTCAGCGATCGTTAGCTCATGCTGAAGCGGCTTATAAATTAACAATTTGCTTTTTAAATTTTTTGCTTTTTTTGTGGGTCTTCCGGCTTACTTTGCCTTTTTGTTTGTGTGTTTAATGACAGATTGATCCTTTGCCATTTGGAAGCTCCGTCCCCCCCGCCCCAGCAACAACTGTAAGTGTGTCAAGGCTGTCAGAGACAGTTGAACGAATTGAGCGGATTGCAGTTCCAGTTCCAGTTGCAGTTAATGCTCCGGTGGCCAGCGCCCCTTTGGGTTAATGAGTTCAAATTGCCAAATAATTGATATGAATGCCGCAGCAAACGGCGTTGACAAAGCGTCGTTAAAGGCCTTAACTGCTCCTTAACAGCTCGCTTGATGCATTAGCTCCAAACACACACCAAAAAGAGCATCAAAATATTGTCGTACGCTCCACAAAATTTTGATTGCCCGCCATTACGGGTTTGTTTCACTAAATTTTATTATCGTCTTTTGTTTTTGCTTTTTGCAACGCCTTTACAAATATGTTTACCTTCATTAAAGTGTGTAAAATGAGTTAAAATTTATTACGCAATTTATTGTCGTTGTTTCACCTCACTGTGTATTTTTTTTTCTTCTGCCTGCGGTTATTATTTCTGTTTTCTACTGTTTTTTCTTTGAACCCAAAAGTCGTCGCTTAAAAAGTTCCCTCCAAGCTCAAGCTGGCTTTTGCCTGGTTAAAAGGGCAAATAAAATTCGAATTAAAGCCACGTCTTAAAGTACTGAATGTTGGCTAAATATTGAAATTGGGTGTGTTTAAACGGAGTTGGTCATAAATCTTATTGATGTATGATCAGAAGGGGAATTCAGAGAGAGGGAAAGTAAGAGATGCGAAAGGATAGAGACAGAGACAGAGAGTGGGTCATTAAACCACGTCAGCTGCATATAAACCAAATCAGTTTATGTCTATAAAGTAAATCCGAGCACTATAATCGAGTGTGGTACACTAGGAAGTACCTTAAGCGTAAGTTATGTGCATCAAAAATGGATTTGATAGCACTTGGTGGACGTGTTCATAAAATTGGGAAACTTCAGTTGTATAAATATGCTCAGATAACTATTAAGCGATATTGATTTATGCCTTCAAGCTAAATGTATATTTCGATTATAGTCCGTATATAAATCAATGGTTGGCCATGCCTCCGTCTGTCTATTATAACAATTCTTCTACGAAATCATTTATGTTTGCTTTCAAAAGCTGCAGCAACGACCTAGACAAACCAAACCATATTTGATTAACAAATAATTTGACTTAATGTGGATTGAAGGCTTTCAAAATAATTGCGTTTGCTTTGAAAATGTTATCATCCATTGATTTTATAAAGCGCACTTCAAGGCAAGAATCAAAAACAAATTTAATACAATATCTATGAGTGTCTGGCTTTACTCACATAATAAGAGTTCACTATCTCTAAATCTCCATTATTTATACATTTTCGAAAGCAAAGGCAAAGTATATCAGTTCATAATCACAAATTGGTTTAATGTCTCAATTGAAAATCGATTTTCTTTGCTCTTGTTCAGCCATTTGAGATGCAATCTGTGTCTAAGTGCAGAGCACTCAATACATCAACTGAGAGCTGACGGCTGACGGCTGACAGCTGAGTCATCAATATTTGTATCTGCTTCCTCGTGGCATTAATTATCGATTCAAATCGCCGAGCATCCCATATATTGTATAATTGCGCTCGTCTGGGGTCACGGCGAGGCGGCCACTCGAACAGGCGGACAGACAATGAGTGGCTCGGCCCAAACAATGGACTCTAATGGCAGTCACATTTGCGGCCCATTGTTAACACGCATCGAATTGTTCTCAACGAGCCGGCAGCAAATCGAGCTCAATAATCCTTGAGATATTACGAGTATTTGTCGCTCATAATGAGCCGCATTTCAATTGCTGAAGGTAGTCTTGTTATACATAGTTGCTGCTGCTGTTGTTGTTGTTGTTGCTGTAGCAATTTACATGCCATTGTCTGTGCAGTTGACCAATTGACCAATTGAAAGTCGCTACGAAATCGTGATGGCCCAAATGCACAATCTAATCCAGTCGGCCGATCTCTGAGCGCCGTTTAGCACGCAGTTTACAAATATGCCTGTTGCATTTTCGGTTCGCCGTTCGATTGCTCTCCAATAATATCGTGCAGCGTGCAGCTATGCGGCGGCAGCTATGCAGCAGCAATTGATGGCATTGCTTAACCCAGTTCTGCTCGAATTGATGTCTATCTCTATCGCACAAGATACACGGCATGAGCACATTGGCTAATTGTCTCTGGCCAGGCACATAAATCATTGAGACTTCACGTCGAGGATGTTGGAACTGCAACTGCCTTGAAAATGCAAAAGACAGCAGCAACAGCAACAGCAACAGCAACAGCTACAGATACAGATACAGATACAGTGCAAATCAAACAGTAAATCATTCCGACTTGCATCTGTTGCAAATAGCCCGCCAGCTACAGCGGATGATGTATCTGTATCTGTAGCTGTATCTCAGAAGCAGCAGAGCTGCTGCTGCTGCTGCTGTTGCTGCTGGAAAAGAATTGAGGGCCGTGTAATTGCCGCTTGGCTGAAAAGAGGTCAATTAGCAGCAGCGCGGCATCTACTCAAGTACTGGCTGCCCCACAAAAGAGTTTCGCTTGCTGTTGTGCAATGCGCCATGTGCGAAAAATATGTATGCCAAAAATGTTTGCGACTTTTTATGAGTCGCGCGCATTCCGTCAAGCAAACGAAAGCGAGAAAAAAGTGTGCTTTAGTTTTCATTTCATTCCATTTCATTTCATTTAGTTTTTGCCTTGCTGGCGCAATCGATGCACTCGCAATTAGCCGCAGAAAAAAAAAAGCGAAGGAAAACCGAGTGTACTATGCGGCGTATGCGTAACGCAACACCAAAGCGCATACGGCTCGTTGGCCGAGCTGCGGTCTGCTCTCTTGATTGACGCAGACAAATTTGATACACGACAGACGAACAATACGCGCATCTCAATGCCAGACACAACATGCTTATTAATGATCTCGAGTGTAGCTCTACGTTCTCTGCCGTCGCGGCGCAGCACAATCTGAGAACGTTAATTATGGCAGCACTTAAGAATAGATTTGAGCCCATTAATAATTAATCAGCATTAGCATAAAATATGCTGTAAGACTTCATTCGGCCCAAGAACTTGCTGAACAGCTTGCATGCATAATAGGCCCATTCGAAATGACAAATTTATCGGTGGAAATTTCTATTCGTGTTGGCAAGGCAGGTGATTGAACCCAATAGAAATGAAGAAGAGCACAGAAAGGGAATATTGTAAAATATATTAGAGCGATAGATGGGCATTTATATGTACATACTATATATCGTGTGTAGCGTATATATCAAGAGATAAATGTCACAAGGTGATCGAAATAGCAAAAAGTCAATAAACGCCCAAGTTTAAACAAATTCTATGAATGCGACTCTGTATATATTTGCGGATTGAATTCAGTCTATCGGGCTAATCGTGAGGTCATCAGCATACCAAATGCAACAAGAATAACTATATGACAAAAAAAAAAAAAAAAATGAATGTCTTTTTGTTGTTGTTGTTTATAATTAATGTGCTAACATATAAAGATGCCAATGACATTAATAATATTATCGGCTTTATATAACAGCGACTGAGCTGGTTTAGCGGAGAAAGAAAGAAATGCTTATAATGTTTTGCATTTATTAATTAAGCGTTGATTAAAACATGATTTTAGATTATCGTCAGCAGTTAAATGTTTCAGCAAATACACAAGCAAATATTTTTATGGAGTGTTTACCTTTTATTTTTCAAGCACTCGCTAAGCCCATCAAAACGTTATGCTCAGTGAGACGTTAAGGTCAATTTCATTAATATCAGCTTTCACGCCTCAACAGCTGCTAGTCAAGGCAGATCAATGGTGCATGATATATACACAAACATATGTAGCAAACTCTTCCCCTCCCCCCCACCACCACCCTCTCTCTCTTGCTCTCACTATCTGTCTCTAAGTGCAATCTTCAATATTGGCACAGGCACTGAGGCGGTCTCATTCAAATGTATCGCTGGGTCGGTCGGCCTTGGCATGGATTTAGCCACTCGATGCCACTTGGCCAACATGCCATGGAATAGCTATCAAGTACTTACCTCGCTTGTCGCGTCCATTTGTGGCCGCCTCCTGCTGCTGCTGCTGCTGCTGCTGGGCAATCGCAATTGGTACATTGCCTCGGCTGCTGCTGCTGTTGCTATGGCTGTTGCTGTGGCCGGCTGCTGGCAGTCTCTGCGGCACATTTCGCACAGGCACTGCGAGGGGCGGCGTCGGCACATCTTGTGGTGCATTATTACCGGAATCGACGCTGGCCAGCGATAGGAGCAGTGTGAGGAGCGTGAAGCGTAGCACTATCATTGCGCGGGTTGTGTAAGAGAGCTGCGCGACGGCAACGGCGACGGCGATGTGGACACGACTGACACCTGGTCAAGAGGAGAAAGCAAATGCGCTGCAGGCTGCACTAGCTCGGTGTGCTCCACGGAGCGTGTGTCGTGGGTGAATGGCTGCACTCGGGCGTGCTCTAACTGTGATCTTTGTGTAGTCTAATGCTGCTCAGGCGCTTTCTAAATTACAAATGCATAGATGCCATAGATCCGCAGATCTACAAATTATGGATATGAATTCACAATGGTTCGATAGAGGCGACGATCGTATGTTGTTGTTGTTGTTGCTGTTGCTGTCAGCGTTTGTTTTTGGTTCGGGTTGTTGATAACTCTGGTGTGTTTAGTCTCAAAGCTTCTGTTTTCTCCTGCTATATTCATGGCGTTGTGGAATAGAGAGCGTCTGGCCATTAATCTGCACCGCCAGCCTCACTATTAGGTAATCGAGCGATCTCGTCTTGCCGCCTCTTGATTTGACTTTCTTTCCTTGTTGTTGTTGCTGTTGTTGACTGTGGCTGTGGCTGTGGCTGCTGCCACGGGAGAGCGCTGTGTTTTCAACTCTCACTTGCTGAGGTCTGGCCTGCTGACTCTGCTGAGCGGACCGAACTCCAAAGTTGTTCGCATTCGGCGCTGAGCTCTCGAACCGTCCAGAGCCTCGATCGTAGCTCCGTTTCTCGTGACTTTTGCGTTGGCTTTCGGCTTGCTTACTTACAGACTAAAGCGTTTGAACGCAACTAAAACACGTTGCGCGCTGGAGACTTCTCTCTGGAGTCGATCGATCGGCTGTGTTTGGCTCTGACACCTCGGCTCCGGTCAGCTGCTTCGTTTGGCTCTAGCTCTCTCTCTCTATCTCTCTCTCTCGCTCTCAGTCTCTGTCTCGCTCGCTCTGGCAACTTGTTTATGTTGACCAAGCCGTGGCCGTAGGCTGTAATGGTGCTGCATCTGCGTTCCTAACCAGCTTCTTCTCTACTGACCTTTGCGCTGCACACATCTTCAGCTTCAGCTGGCTTACGTGCGGCTGTTTTCTTATTTTTTTTATTACACCTGGGCGCAGGTGTGGCTGGGGCGGGTCTGGAAGTTGCTGAGACTGAGCAGGCCACTCCAGAATTTCCAACACGCGCCGATCATTTGCCCTTTGCCAAGGCCGCACAAGAACTATAAATAACTTGGCTAAGCTAATTGTGATTTTATGCACACTTATTTTAGCGTCATTTACAACTTATCGGCTATTGAGAAATATGACCTTTTAGACAAGAAAAAAAAATATTCAGATATATTTGCGTGTATCCAAAATGTTGCTATATTTATTTGACAATTGTATTGTATTGTATTCGTTCTAAACTAAAATACTATTTATAATTTCGTATCCAAATGTTATGTATAATACTTTGTCTCAAAGCAGGGTAACTTCTAACAAGTGGGCGGGGTTTTTGCTTTCTCCTATTCTTCTATCTGGCTTCATCAATCGATACATGGCCAGAGATTCGCTGTTTCTATCAATATTCTCTCTATTTCTTCTTCTTGCCTTTGCCCTTCTTCTTGCCCTTGCCCTTGCCCTTGGTGGCGTCCAGCAACGCCTCCGTCACGTACGTCTCGGTTGTCACCTTGCTCATGGGCAACGTCACCGGCTGCTTGGGCGTCCTTAGCTCAATCTCAATTGTGTTCTTCTTGTGCTGTGACTTCGATTTGCTGCCCAACTTGACAAGGAACACATCGCTGTCCGTTTCCTCGCATGTTTTATAACAGACCTACACCGAGAGAGACAGAGAGAGAGAGAGAGAGAGAGAGAGAGAGGGAGTGAGTTGAGTGAGTGAGAGAGCGACAGGCGGAAAGCTGGCAGATTTACAGCTTTGGTTTGACTTCACATATTTGGAGCTCTTGCAATTGCCTTACGAGTGCATGAGTGTATGTGTGTGTGTGTGTGTCAGATTATGCAACTGGCTCTGTAAGCGTTTAGCCACAGCAGCAGCAGCAGTTACTACTGTGAGGCCAAGTCACGGAACAATTGGATCATTCAACTCTCGTATTCCGCATTCCAACGCGAGCTTGGCTTGTGGCATGCAGCTTATGGCTAACAAAAGTTGTATGTGTGTGTGTGTGTGTGTGCGTGTGTGCGTGTTTTTCACACTCACCTCAATGCCCTTCTTCCTGGTATCCAGGTCGATGCCGTTCATGGTATCCTTAATATCCTGCGCTTGCACCTGCATGCAGCAGCTGCGTTTACCCTGTACGGGCGGGATTGGCAGTATGCACGGCAATCCGCCGCCGCACAATCGTTTGCGATAACAATCGATTTTCGCCTCTTGTTTATCGCAAACCTGGGATCGATAGCAATCGACTTTGGCCTCCTGGCCCTCGCAGACCTCCATGATCTTGGAGAAGGGCACGTAGTAGTTGTTCGTCTCGCAGGTGTCGTTGCCCGAGTATTTGATGTTGGCGCGCACCTTCGGTATGTTGGGGTGATTGACAATCCGGCCGCAGGTGCGCCGCTGTATGTGCTTCCTGGCAAAATCGCTGCGCTGAAGTACGTCGTTGAGGCAGTTGTTCTCCGGACAATCCTCCAGCTTGCTCTTGTAGCAAGGGTCATCGTCTGGGCCCAGGTTCCTTGTGGTTGCCCCATCGTCCACACTCTCGACTTTGTGTGTGTTCTTTAAGACTCGTATGGTTAGACCGCTGCCATTCAGACACGCCTCGAACTCGTCATAGGCCTCGGGACCTGGATCTGGTATCGTCGGCTGTATGAAGCACGGCTGTATCTCCGGACTACAATCGCAATCGCATTGGCACTGGCAGCACTCGTCACAATCGGCAGCTAGACCCAAGGCTCTATAAGTATGATTGAGCAGTAGGCAGAGTTCAGGGTGTCTACTCACGTCGTGGCGTCATCGGCTTGAGCATCTCATCAGTGATCTCGACTGGGCAACTGATGCCCCCCTTTTTCTTGCCCTTTTTGCCCTTGCCCTTTTTCTTGGCCATCTTGATCGGATATGCTTATGCGATTGCCAGTGAGCTCAGATTAAATTTTGATATGGATTGAAAATATGTCAATTTGGATATTGTACTTGACCAGTGAATGGCACAATTTCCCTAAATCTTGTCTGCGCGCTGAAATAAAACGTACTTATTATATTTCCAACTAAAGCCTAGTTTCGATTCATGCGAATATATATATAGATATATAAATGTATAAGTATATATATATGTCGCTATGTAAGTCTGATGACCCAAGGAAATGACCTTCACACGCCCTTGCGGAGCGTTAGCTAATGGTGCAATTGCTTGGGTCACAACTAGCTAACGACAAAGATAAAAGCGCTAAGAAAACAAAAATAAGAAAAAACGTAAATACGAGAGAATTTTTTTTCTTTTTATACGATAGAAAATTCCGAATCGATTGTTGAAAATAAAATGAATTTTTTACCCTGAACAATTTTGTTGACTGAGTGTTGAAGCGTTGATACAATTTTGACTGACTTTAGCAAATTCAACGTGCAACGATTGCTTAGGTTGAGAGCCGTATAACACCTCTATACAAAGGCAGAGTGAGCTGTAGAGCCACAAAGGAACCAAGAAGAGGAATCAGCGAGGCGCCTGATCCAATGCATTTCAAATCCGATTTTATTTGTATTATTTAAGCAGGCTTAGAATGCAGCGAGAGAAGGTAAGGCCGAGATCACTTCTCTAGCGCTGTCTCTTTACTGCAACCCATATCAAATGACTCTCATAGTGGCGATAGTCTCTGCCAGAATTCGGCAACAACACTCGAAGACTACTCTGTGGATCCCTATTTAAGTCTCCTCTTATAACTAATAGCATGCTATGATTATGGACAATGATAAAACACAATGCGTGACATGCAATAATTTATTGTCAATAACTTAAACACAATTATAAATTTCTTTGACACTTTCAGTACGTCAAATTTCTATATCTGAGTCTCTTTTGCCTTTACGTTTTGCAGCATCTCTTTTGCGTGGGCTTCTTCTTGCATTTACGCTTTGCTAGCAAATTCTCACGGGACACAAATCTGGTGGGCAGCAGCGGGACATCGCCGCAAATTCCGCACGGCTTGTATTCCTCAACAATCCTCTTACACTTATTCATACAGGGCACAGTGGGGCAATCTGTGGGGAGCAGAGGTCGCTTGAGTTAGTGGCACAGTGGGGCAAGCCCAGCAAAAAATGGTTGACTTACCGCGATCAAACTCATCCTCACAGGTATCGCAGGGGCAGAGCTTATCCAGATTGCACGAAAAGTAGCGATAGCCCGTTGTGGGGAAATTGCCCTCGCGCTCTTCTGGCAGTATATAACATGGATGCTGGTCTGGGGGCTGCTCCACGGGGACAAACTTGTTGCCCACCAAGTGGAGCTGTGATACAATAGTGGGTCCATGGCAGAGCAGGCGCAATAGGAGCACCATGTTGCCGGTCTGTTGATTGCAGAGATTGAAGAGGGGCAACATTCTCTTGACAACTACGTAGTTGGGACAGAGCTGCTCTCTGCGGCGGAAACCGGCGTTGAAGCACTCACATCTGTCCATCATGTCTCTGTTGGAGCCCTTGAGTGTAGGTAGACCCTTCAAGCCGTCCTGCCGTTTTATTAACCAATCTGTGTTCTGGGCCTCGAACGTTTTGTCGATCTCATCGAAAAGCGGCTTGACTACCATCTCAGTCATTCCAATCAGAAATTTGCATCGATCCGTCCGCTTCTTATAGACGTGAATCAACAGTCGATCCTCGTCGGTGACTGGCTTATCCAGCGGAAATATGCAGCACTTGGCGCACCTTGCCTGTTTGGGATCTATGCAGCCTCCATATTCACGATCACAGAGATTGATGTAGAGATTGGATCGGAATGTGAATTCCACACAGGTGGAGTATTCTTCTGGGGCACAGTGATTCTTGCGTATTATCACCAGATCGTCAATTACGAAATCAAACATGTACAACAAATTCGGTACTGGAGGTGAAGGGACCATTCTCAAATATTTCAGACCGTAATGAAATAATTTTGAGAAAAAATCTAAATTTTGAATTTATGCCAAACAATAAATTTTGAGGTAATTCCTGAACGACGGCCGAAATAGGAGTGAGGTTTAACCCCCTTTAATAACAGCTGGTCACATTTCAAGGCATGCTTGATAGGAAAAATATATACAGTCCTATATTAAAGAATATTAAATGTAAACATCCTCTCTGCAAATTAACTGCATTTGATGGAATTTTCTTCAGCTGTGCCGAAAACACTTTCAGCAATTATTTTCACTTGGAAATTTTAAACTCCGATGTTGGAAATGAGAATACCTTTACCGTTGTCATTCCTCCGACACAAGTAAAGCGCATTATTCTCTTCATGAGATCTATTTACAGACTTACTTCTCCAGCGATGCTATATCAAATCTTATTCATAACTATCTTAGACTTGTTTTTATTGTTACCTTAATAATCTAAATACATACTTATCAAACTAAAAACATTTCAAACATTTCCGTTTACAATGCGTGGAATGTAAAAACATAATTTCAATTCAATTAATTTGATTTAAATGTGCAATACACTTCTCAGGAATCCACAGAGGAAGCACAGTCATTTGATTTCTTACCGGGCATTTTTGCCTTATTCTTCTTGATCTTTTACTAATTTTAAATTCAAATTTTGAAGTTCAATTCTGGTTAAATTTTGATCAGGGAATACGAGAATAGGAGAAAAAGACACGAAGGGTAGAGAATGCATAGCATGCCTGATTAAGAACTCTATTTTTATTTGTTTTAGAGGAGAGTATATATATAATTAAAAATAAAGAATTATAATAAATTCACTGCTCGTCTTGACCAACTTTATGTCATCATATTAGAAGTCTCAGTACCAGTTGCAATTTTCAGCATGCATATATTGTATGTATAATACACCAGAAGTTTGATAATGTATTGAATCGGTTATTATAAAACGGTATAGTTATCGATAATTTAAAAGAAACATAATCAGCGCATGGTTCCTAGGGGCAGCGGACAGCTTGTCGCCTATTGCTGTGTCTGGAACATTCATAACAACAAAAGCATGACACTACCCTCTATTTCCATTTTCAACATGTTCAAGAGTATAAACTTTAATTCATATTATGAGTGAGGTTTGTTAAAACGAGTTTCTTCCGTGAAAGCTAAGATTCATTCAAATAATAGTCTGACCCCCCAAATAACAGCTTTATCATCTTGAATATCAAAGCTTGCTACGGCATGTACTGCACCTGGTCTCCCTTTCAGCTCCGAGTCGACGATTACTCTAAGGTATTCCGCTAGATTTGAAACTTTGTGTTGGTCGAATGAGACATGGGACAACACTGACTAACGACCGTCGATCACTGGCAGTAGAACGAAGTGCGATCCGAGGCATTCCGATTTGAGTTCCATTTAGTTTTATGGATATATAACTATATATAGGTATATACAAATTTACGTATAAGTATATACGCATTGTGCTCCGTTGGGTTTCTGTCTTTGCCGTTTGCCTGATGCACATGGGAGAGATCAGTCCACGTGAATGTTGTACTTGAGCAGGAGATGATGCAATTGACGTATGGCTCGACTACGCGCTGCAAGGAAACAGTGCCAGTCAGATAATACATGTTGTCAGATGTGGTCGCAGGCAACAACTCACCAATATTACAGCAACTGGCATATTCGGGGCAGCAGTGATTGCAGGCTTCCGGGCCGCCACAGTCGGGAGCTTGGTTCGACTCTCCGGCGAAGCAGGACGTTGACGGTTCGTCTTCGCGGTACAGACCGCCGCCAGACTCACGTTTGCCCTTCTTCTTCTCCTTCTCCTTTTGTTTATTTTCCTCACGTTTCTCCTTACGGCTCTCCTCCAAACCCAGTTGCTTTTGAGTTTGTACGTATCGGGGATGGGCTGGAACGCCACCGCAGGGACCACAAGGCTCCAGGCGCTGTTCAATGACCGATTTCGGACGTCGCTTGCTCGGTACAGTGGGACACTCTGTATGGTCAGTTTCATTTTAGATATATGCAGTGCTATAATACGAAATGACACTTGTACTTACCGCGGTCAAACTCATCCTCGCAGGTGTCACAGGGGCACATCTTGTCCAGATTGCAGGCAAAGTAGCGCAGGCACTTCCCTCTATCGTCGACTGGCCGCGCGCAGGGATCTGGCTGAACGCAGCTGGGTGGTGGACAAGATGGACAACTGCCCTTGCAGCTTTTCTTGCCAGTATCCATGGGACCGCCAGTCGCACTTGTCGACCCACCGCCGCAACAGGGGTCACAGGGATCCTCTGGGCAGCTGGGCTTACTCTGGCCACAGGGTGGACAGGGCGGAGGACAGACTGGATTCCGTGAACAGATTGAAGTGTTGAGTGGAAAGGAGGATACCAGCGACGGCCCATTGCAGACCAGTCGTATGATGAGCACAATATTGCCGGTCTGCTGCTTGCACAGGTTGAAGAGCGGCAATAGACGTTTGGTTATCTCCGAGGTTTGGCACAATTGTTCGCGTCGCTCATTGCCGCGATCGTAGCATGCACAATTGTCCATAACTTCCTTGTTGGGGCCCTTCAATTTCGGCACTAACTGCAGCTGTTCACTCCAAACCTTTTCCCAGTTTATATTTTCAGCATCGAACGATTCTCTCACCCGGTCGAAAAGTGGTTTCATTGGCAACTCTGTCAGCCCAATCAGAAATTTACAGCGACTCGTTTTCTTCTTATACACATGTATTAAAAGCATATCCTTGTCCGTTACTGGCGATTCCAGCGCAAATATACAACATTTGCAGCATTTGGGCGCCTTGGGATTTACACACGTTCCGTACTCACGGTCGCAGATGCTCACAAACACTGTAGAACGGAACGTAATCTCTACACAAGTCGGATATTCCTCGGGCGCGCATAAGTTCTGACGTGTTATTAACAAATCATCAATCACAAATTCAAGCATATAAATTAAAGTTTTGGGGGCGAACGAGTTACTCTCTTTTTTAGAATCCATTCTGCGGGTGAAGAGATGAAATTCCAAAAATTTTGTTACAAAAAAATTTTATGTAATTTTGGCCGAGGTTGAAAATGAACTAGATTAGATTTTTGAGTATTCTATATATGAAACAAATGCCTGCTGAGTACTTTTTTTTTCATATAGATATATATAGATACATTTATATATATGATACTCAATCCTTCATCATAATTGATACGTGATATCATTTCCAAATCTCTTTTCCCATTCCAATCTGCAATTTGAAACACATTCATTTTGGGGTCTCTTTTTTTTATCTAAAATCCTTTATTCAAATCCCGAAATTGTTCTACACAAAATTGATTGAGCTACTCGTAAATGTGATTTAAGTGGCGCTGCTACGGTCACTGCCTCCGTGTTATGCCTTTCCAGCTGCCGCTGCAGCCGGGCAAAGCTTCGTCAATTTTAACTAAAAAGCTTATAAGGCTTCTCAAGAGAGGGAATTGAGCGTGTTTAACACAAAATACAGAATAGGAGAGCAATAAATACAGGAATTTTGCTGCATGTATTTCTTTAAGCAGTGTCTGTGTGGGCACCTAAAAGCAAGCAGACCTGGAAGGCCATTCATGATAGTTGACCTACTAAACGATACTAATGTCAGGCGGAATGAAAGGATGTAACAGGAAAAAGCTGCGGCCATTGCACAAATTCCACGCCGTAATGTAAAATGCCAGTGGCGCTAACCGCGATCATAGCACCCCAGAAGAGCATGAAGAGCAAGTTCTCCGTATTGAACTCGGATGGATATGTCATCGTGACAAAAAACATGGCGACAGCAATTAGGAGCACCGATGGGAACATATAGTACCGCCAGCCGCGTGGCGTCTCCAATGGCGTTGGTTGGATGATATTCTCGCTATCATTGACAATGTAGTTGCCCAAGAAGAGATCGATGCCATCTTGACGCCTGCCATCTGCGAAATTATTCAAATAGTAGCGCACTAGAGAGTTCTTGCCATCGTTAAGAGCACCGGCCTTGGTGCGTTTGCCAGTCCGTGTGAAATCCGTTTTGAGAGCACCTGTGCCCGAATATTGCAGCGAGACTAGATCCGCGTTGTCCGCCCAGACGCCCTTGAATATCGCCTCAAAGCTGGTGGATGCATTCTCGACCAATTGGCCGATGTGCAACACGCCCAGTTTTTGCAGCACGGCGGTAAGGGAGCGACGCGCCAACATACTCTGCACCACATTGGTCCGGTCGAGACAATCGATGCAGTTCGTGCGGAACACGCCTTGCTGCGAGGACACCAGGACGCCATTGTCGAAGGCATGGAAGAAACCAAAGCTATCCTGCTCATAGGCAAGTCGATCGATTAGAATGTTAAGTCGATTCCAACGCATTTTCCGGCACTCATGGTGAAAATCAAATGCCTCGTAGCGCACAGCAGGGTTGTTTAATTCGCGCACAAGTCGAGCAAATGTGGCCTCCAGCTCGCCTTCGACGCCTTTTTGGTTTACCAGATTGATAGCCACGACCTTGCCATAATACTTGAGCTGCGCGTTGAAATGCGCAGTGCATGCAGCCAAGTAATCTTTGCCTGGTGTCAGTCGCGGCTTGGGACTATAGCGCAACGTCGGTAGCTGCTGCCACTGAAAGGGAATGCTGCCACGGGTCTGCACAAAGCTTGTACGTTGTCCATTGAACTCGACAATTTGCTCCGTTTCCACAAAGTTAGCCACTTGGCCCAGGTCGTTGCTGCCACGACAGAAGAGTCGCGTGCCCGCACGCTCCACAGATCTCCGGCTGACAATGCTCCAGAAAAAGGTTTGTCCATTAATTTGCACTTGGTTGATCGACACAAAGCCTTGCATAATTGGCAGCTGGAAGCGCTGCATATTATTGCATTTAAATTGCTCCAGCACATAGCGGTTCCACACAAATCGCTCGTCAGAACGTTGCAGCAGGCCTGGCATCACCTTTGGCACCTTATTTTCGTATTGCCGTTGCAGGCTCTGCGTCAGATCGTATCGGTATGAGAAGTAGTAGAATTTGGTGTCCAACGTCTGACGCAACATTTTCAAGAAACTGGAGTTCTCTGACCGCTGAATCGCATTTGGAATGTAGGGTATAATATCGTAACCAGCCAATCGCCATACGATGGCATTGTTAAGAACTCCCACGAAAATGCGATGGGTTGCCACCAGCAAATAGTCGCAGCTAAGCAGGTGTATTGTGCCCAGGATGCCGCAGATTCGTCTGGTCGGTCGCTGATTAATCAGCTGTGAAGTCTTGGGCTGCACGCGCGTGACCTTATCGAGGCGGCCAATAACCAAGAGCTCATCCTGTCCGTTCGGCTCGACAATGAAGTTCTCTTGTGTTATGTACAGATTCATGTCATCGTAAACATCGTTCTCGCCCTCCATGCTGCTGACCAAATAATCCGCTCGTGCACCTACCAAATAATACAATCGTATCTGATAACACTGTCTGACAAGGTTGTTGTTATTGTTGTTGTTTGCTTACTGCTTTTAATGAAAAGTTCTTCCCACCGATGACGGCGCTCACACGCAACACACACGCACACGAATTCAAGCACCGGCAGCAACAAAATTAGCAGCAGATGTAATAACTGCAGTTTTGGGTTTGTTGATAGTTATGCCTGTCGTGTGTGTGATATTGTCGCCGAGGGAGCTATTTCAATTTTATATACGAAACAGCTACAAACATGGCAATTTTAATAAACCTACAAAACTATTTAACGAGGTGACGAAGGCACAGGCACTTTCACACAAACATACTTGAGCACCAAAGCAATCGATGCATTATCGATAGTTGAAGCTGGCGCCATCTGTCATCTATTTTTGTAAGTAAGAGGGCGCGGAATACTTATGGTAAAATGATTGACGGGGAAGAAATAGTTCAATATTCCACTAAACAAATTAAAAATTGTTCTGACACTATTTTCTTAAGTTTGATTAAAAATATTCGTTGCCAAAACAAGCAAATTTACACATTTACATAATAACGATAACAATGATAACAGTGTGTACACATGTTCAATTATTAAGAACTATTTTCCCAGTGTGTACCCGTATTTGTAGGTAAATATGAGTTTTGTGCATCTTTCAAAATCGAACGGACGACGCGATTAATAAAGCGGCGGATTGTAATATTTTTACATATTGCATACAAAAACCATCCTAATATATATAAACTGATACCAAATTTGCAAATTTTGATAGTGTGCTATCAGTGCAGTGTACATTGTCGCACACGAACCATAAATTTAGATAAATACGTAAACTACAGTTATTTCTAATAGCAAAAGAGCTTGGCGTCATTCTTGAAATATGGATTTGACATCGGGTGCGAACGGCTCGCGCCAGCAGCCTCAGCGGAAATCAAACCAAAATATTCAAGTCTATGTGCGCGTCAGGTGAGTTTCAATTTAGCATATTCAATACTTATTGATGGCTAATGCTAAAAATGGTGATATTGTTGCAGACCGTTGAATTCGCGGGAACGATGCATTCGCTCCGCCGAGGTAGTGGATGTAATGCCGCCGCGTGAAATAATCACTCGGCACACGCTTGACTCCAAGTTGACCAAGAAATTTACGTTTGATCGGACTTTTGGTCCGGAATCGCGACAATGCGATGTCTACAGCACGGTCGTGGCACCTCTCATCGAGGAGGTGCTTGCTGGGTACAACTGCACGGTATTTGCCTATGGCCAAACGGGAACTGGAAAAACACATACCATGGTGGGCAATGAGTGCGCCGAACTGAGGTCCACCTGGGAAGATGTAAGTGAGATCTATAAGTCAAGTTGCGTTTGCGCGGTACAGTTGCGTTTCGTTAGAAACCTTTATTGACCTGCGAAAACAAGTTTTACCACTTTGTTTTTGACCTCGCAAATGTTGCCTTTTGATTCTGAGAATTCGCAACCTTTTTCTAATTTGTACACGCCTCTCTTATAGGACTCTGAAATTGGCATTATACCGCGCGCGCTCAGCCATTTGTTTGATGAGCTGCGTATGACGGAGCTGGAGTTTACGATGCGCATCTCCTATTTGGAGTTATATAATGAAGAACTGTGCGATTTGCTCTCAACTGATGATAATACTAAGATTCGTATATTCGATGATAGTACGAAAAAAGGTTCGGTAATTATACAGGGTCTCGAAGAGATACCTGTCCATAGCAAAGACGATGTGTACAAGCTGCTGGAGAAAGGCAAAGAGCGCCGTAAAACGGCTACCACACTGATGAATGCTCAATCCTCTCGTTCGCATACCGTTTTCTCAATTGTGGTTCACATACGTGAGAATGGTATCGACGGAGAAGAGATGCTGAAAATTGGCAAGCTCAATCTGGTAGACTTGGCAGGCAGTGAAAATGTGTCCAAGGCGGGCAACGAGAAAGGCATTCGAGTACGAGAAACAGTGAACATCAATCAGAGTCTGCTGACGCTCGGGCGTGTTATAACTGCCTTGGTTGATCGTGCCCCTCATGTGCCTTATCGTGAGTCCAAATTGACTCGCCTGTTGCAGGAGTCGTTGGGTGGGCGTACCAAGACCTCAATTATAGCTACTATCTCGCCTGGCCACAAGGACATTGAAGAGACGCTCAGCACACTTGAGTACGCACATCGAGCCAAGAACATCCAGAACAAACCTGAGGTTAATCAAAAGCTGACCAAGAAGACAGTACTTAAAGAGTACACCGAAGAGATCGATAAACTGAAACGAGATTTAATGGCTGCACGCGACAAGAATGGCATCTACCTGGCCGAGGACACCTACAATGAGATGATGCTTAAGATGGATTCGCAGACACGTGAACTAAATGAAAAAATGCTGCTCCTTAAAGCGCTGAAGGATGAGTTGCAAAACAAAGAGAAAATCTTTAATGAGGTCAGCATGAGTCTCGTGAAGAAGACCCAGAAGCTCACTCGCACTGAGCAGAACTTAACAGAGACCAAAGGCTCACTGCTGCTCACCAAGAAGGTGCTTAGCAAAACAAAGCGCCGTTACAAGGAAAAGAAACAGCTGGTCGAGTCGCATATGAAGACCGAACAGGAGCTGACAACGCAAGCCAATCAAATCCTAGAAGTGGCCGACATGGCTTCCAATGATACGCATCAGCTATTAGGCACTATTGAGCGGCGTCGCAGTGTGGATGAAAAGATCCGCAGCACGTGCGCGCAGTTCACGGAACGCATGCGTGACAATCTAGAGGTTCTCGATGGCAGTCTTAATCAGTACCAAGAACAACAGGCTGGCTCCACGCAGCAGTTGACGGAAGAGCTGGGTAGGCGATGCACTTTATTACTTATCTTACTTTTATGCTTATCTACTCTAATTTCTCATGCACAGCAAACTGCACCAACGTACATAAGCGACTGGTGGCTAACGCCACTACAAGCATCGACAATTTGCGTGCAACTTGCTTGGAAGCCTTGGCAGCACATGGGCAGCTGCAGGCACAGTTTGCAGAAGCTGTTGCTAGCAGTGGCGATGCCCACTGCCAAGCGGTAGTAGCACAGCTGTTGGAGCAAATGCAGCAGCGGAAGACGCAGATAAGCGAGGATATAATGGCCAATTTGCAGGAGCTGGAGGCGAACAATGAGCGCCACAAGGCAGCGCTGGATAGCATGCGCGATGGCTTCTCGCCAATTATTGAGCGAAACGCAAAGGCATTGCAGCAGCACGTGGAGCTGGTTCAACAGCAATTGCAGCAGTTGACAGCGCTGAGTGCGCCGGATGCAGAGGAACTGCAGCAGTTGCAGGCCGAACTGGCCTACGAAGAGGAGCTGGCAAAGCAGGAAGCTGAGTTGATTCAGCAGCTGGAGCAATTGCAGCAGAAGCGTGCCAAGAACACGGTCAGCATGGGCTCACGCGTCGGCCAACTGAAACGCAATCATGTGGCGGTCAACGAGCAGGCACAGCAGACTGGCAACAGCATGCAGGCGTATGCCATGGAGGGTTCTGTGGCTGCACAGGCGGCACGCGACGAACTATGTAGCCAGCTGCAGGCTGCAGTGCTGTGCGTAGATCACGGCGTTGCCAAGTGCTCCACGCTGCAGATTCAGCTAGAGAACTTGAACAAGGAGAGCGCCAAGCATGCTGAGCACAGTATTCAAACGGTTCGCATGCATGAACAGCAAATGCGACAGATGTGCTCGGCCAGCGAGGAGCGAGCCGAACAGCTGCGTCACGAGCAGCAGAAACAGCTTGCAGCAGCCACCGAAAGTATTCATAAGATTATCTCGGATGATGTTAAATTGGGCCATGGGCATGATGCGCTCACTGCCGATCTCATTAATAAACTCTCGAATCAGACAAAGCAGCATGCGATATTGCAGCGGCAACAGTTGGAGACTTGCCACAAAGACCTCTCGAACTTCCATCAGAGCGAACTGAAAACTTATACGCCAACTGGCACGACCCCATCAAAGCGTGACTTTATTTATCCACGCACCTTGGCAGCCACATCGCCGCATCAGGACATTGTGCGTCGCTATAGGCAGGAGCAGGACTGGTCGGATTTGGACACCACTGCCACTATCGATGAGGTAAGCCGTGAACTTATTTGTCGTGCATTTCACTTGCATAGTTAAAATTCAATTGGCATTCCAGATCAGCGAGGGTGAGCCAGAACAGGAATCATTGCATTCTGTGCAAGAATTGTCCGAAACAGAGACCATTATGAATTCCACGCCCATTGACCCCGTCGACGGAGGAAACCTGAAGGCTCGAATTACCAGAAGCGGATCCAATTCGCTAAAGCAACCACTTGTCAACAAACGTAGCAACTCACTGTCCAGTTCCCTGACGCCCAATAAGAATTCGTCACGCAATTCGCCGCGAAACTCGCCTCTTTGTTCGCCAGCCTTCAATCGGGTGAGCTATAAATACGAGCTGTTAAATAGTAGTGCAATCATAATTCCAATCGTATTCACTTTCTTCTCTCTCCGCACAGCACAACAACAAAGAGAATCTGGCCCAGTAAGAGGTGCAGCCAGCCAATGCAGCCTTCTCTATTTGCCTGTTCCTTTTTATTTTAAATTTTACTTTTGCTTTTTATTAACTCATGAAATTCTTATTAAATTTATTATGCACATATATTTTTACCTTAAATAAGCACGCCCTTACTACACTGAATTAAAATGAATCTGGTATATGAATTGAAATTCTTGTATAATTTTTGGAATAATTAAAATCGAACTTCGGAGTATTTTATTTTCATTTAAGAGGCCTATTCATCCTCCTGCTCATCGTCATCATCCTTGAGTATGCCCAGGCGCCGTGCCACTTCCTTAACATTGGCTATGAACTCCTCCTGCACCAGATTGAAGCTCATGGCCAGCAAAGCGATGCCAAAGAGCAGATACAGCGAGCAGTAGGCAATGGACTGCTGGGACTCGTCCTTCACGCCCTTGTCGGGCACAAAGTCACCAAAGCCTGTAGGAAAAGTATGTCAATGGAATATTGATTAGTGATCAGCGAGCACTCACCTATTGTGGTCAACGTGATGAAGCAAAAGTAGGCAGAGTCCAGGAAGGACCAGGTCTCCCAGGCGTTAAAGAGCGCAGCGCCGCCTAGTATATAGCTGACAACTAGAAAGACGCATAGCCAGATGGGCACTGGCCGATCTTTGGGCACCATGTCGTCGCCATAGTCATCGCCGTACATTGAGTCCTCGTCGTCGTAGTCGTAGCTGGGGCGCCGCCTGATCTGGCGCTGCACGGGAAAGCCCATGGGCGACATGATGCGTGGGGAGGGCGGCAACCGGCGCTCGCGACGACGTTCGCGGCGCGGTTCTCTTTCTCGATTGCGGGAGCCATGACGCACTGGATAATCCTCGTACAGGCCATTGTCTTCGCACATGGACAGCTCATCAAAGCTCTCCTCCACATAGTCTGCGTAGCGCGGCGAACGAGCGCGCCGCTGTCGTTGCGGCGGGTCCGGATCGTAGTCTGGCGGCTCAAGATGATTGCCATATCGAGAGGATTGACGGCCCAGACTGCCAGCACGTCGTCCATTGGGTCGTAGCTGTTGTTGCTGATGATGGTGGTGGTGGTGGTGGTGCGAAGGTGTTGGCTGCGGCGAACGCTCGCGCTCCAGTTCCCTTTGGCGTTGGCGCTGACGATGCGCCGACCTGGGCATCGATTGGCTGCGCGGAGCATTGCGAGATTGCTGCCTGCTACTGACCAAGTCGTCGTCCTCCAGCGCATAACGATTGTGTATGATGGGCGTCTTGCGAACCACATCCTCGTCCACGTCTTCGTAGTGTGAGGAGGCGTGGCTGTGCCGCGGATCCACACTCTTCGCCCGCCCACGACCTGGAACCGAATGCAGGCGGTCCAGCTCTCGCGAGGCGCGCGTCTCCTGCTGCTGGGGTGAGCGAACCGAGCGCACACTCGCTGCTCGCTTGGCCGGTGGCTGCATGTCGCTGAAGTCATCGATGGAGCCATGTATGTGGTTTCTTGAGTGGCCCAGGTAACGCTCGCGCTCCACTGTGTGCCGATCCCGCATTCTGTCCCTCTGTCGCTGCCGGCTGCTGTAACGATTGGCTCGATTCAGCGTCTGTGGCTCGTACTCATCCCCGTAGATGGTGTGACGCTTGCGAGGCTCATGCTGCAGCGGCACGTGGTATAACTGTTGGCGACGTGGTCGTCCTCCACTGCCCCGATAGCCGCCCCCGCCGCCAAAGTCGCGATCTCGATCATCGTAGTTCCTGCCAATCGTACGTAGCTCTGGGTCTGAGTAGGCGTGACCCAAAGAGGGACCCAGTCCAGAATCATTGTTGGAGCGCTGCGTCATCTTCATGGAACGCCTGAACGTCGGCGGCGGCTGCGACCGCGACGTAACGCGCTGCGAGCGCATACGAATCGATCTTTGCCTCGAGCGACGGTTCCTGGAACGCCTGGCCGAACGGGTGCACACATAGCAGCAGATGCGCCAATAGAGAAACCTGCATGACGGACAGAAAGAGGTGAACAATTGTCACGCGATCTACAGCAGTGGAAGCTCGTTGAACTCACCGAAACGATGTGGCCATCACATCTCCAATGTTTGACAGACATAGCAGCATCAATGGGATGCCCACGATGGCATAGAAAATCGTTGTCACCTTGCCCCAGTCTGTGCGCGGTGATATGTGGCCATAGCCTGTCCAGAATCGGAGTCGGGGTTGCAGCCAATCATGTTACATGTGAATGAACAAGACCAAAACAAAACACATTTAATGCGACAATCTAATGTGAATTATGCTTGATTTAATCAGGGGTGAGGTATTGATTAAAGTGGAGGGAGGGGCAGGCAGGGGGAGAATATGCTTAACTTCTTTGTGGCCATTTCGTAAACCTTGCCTTCAAAACATATAAACAAAATTTAGTTGTGCCTTGAACTCTAGATATTATTATCTATTCGCTTGCGAATTGGCAAATTGTAAAATTTCTGGGCATGCTAATGGGCACAACGTGCCTAATCGACCTGCCTTTAGGAAGCTAATCTATTACCGTCTCCCCCACGCAAGTACGAAATGGGCTTTTCAAGTTTTGCCGCTTGCTCTGACGGCGCTGCGGAAGTGTTTGCATTCGCATAGACGCCACGGCTGATGGCCAGTGGGTGCGGCGTTGGCTTAGGCCAAACAGACGTCGCGAAGTGTCGGTCATTAAACCCATGGAAGCCAAAGCAAAGTTATTTAATGACAGATCCATATTGGGTATACTGCCTGAAAGAGTTCCCACCATCAATCTCAAATCTAAAACTCATCTTCGGTCAATCGCGCTTGACCTTGCGTTTGTTTTGAATGGGTTTTGTGAAAAATGATTCTAACTTTTGATTTCGTTGGATATTTCCTGCCTCACCCCCTTCCATGCAATCAAATCCGATGCTGAAACTATTTTAGAGGTCATTCACGTGGACGTTCAGTGGGCCAATCAACCTGTGTGCAGCAAAGTGTAGCCGAAAAAAAAAAGAATAACCCAAAAATAAAACGAAGCCATGTGCTGCACGATCTGAATGATAAGGCAATTGCCGCTGCACCAAATCCGGGCTTGATCAATAAATGAACTCTAATTATACTCCACAAATTCTGTCATTAAAATGAGCTGTAAAATTTTGTAAACTCATTTGTGAACTCAATTTAATTTCCAGGAAAATGTTTTGTAATCATCCAAAGGTACCCTTGAGCATGGAGTCTAACGATCGTTCACAAAGCGATTTCAATATTTATGCGATTTCTACGTGATCATTGTGGACATGTCTCAATCGATTGCAGCAGTTCCTGGGCGGACCACTGACCACACAGAACACAGAGTGGAGATCACTGATCGGCGATCACTTATAGGTCTTTTATTTGCGGTTTGGCAGTCTCTTGGGCATGGATGAATCAATGCTAAATACGTGGGCTGCGTGCTCGCCGATCAAAGCCGATCGCTGATCGCTGATCGCTGTTAAATACGGCGTGTCTTGTCTGCCTCTGCTCGCGATCTGGTGCTCTGTCTCCTCTGTCTGCTCTGTCTGGCTTGTTTGCGTTGATTCATTAGCTGTTTGCAGTGCGGCACAGTGGGCCTGATCGCATGCTGATCGCTGGCCAATGGCAATTGCAGTGGCTGGTCCCACTGTGACCGTCCATGTGCCGTCCTCGCCCAGCCACACTCGAGTGACTTTAGTGCGTCGTCGTTATGCTTGTCGTTGCTGTCGCTGGCCCATTGTTATATAAGTAGCGTGTGCCGCTCGCACTGCCGAATTATTCTGTTCGCAGCGTTATACGAGAAATACGGGTCAGTGTGTGAACCAAGCAGAGTCATAATAAAATAATCCGAGCTCCTATTGAATCGCGGTTAACTGCAAAAGCATGCGAAAACATTGCCTCATCGTGCTGCTGGCTGCCCTCATCGGCCAGCTGGCCATTGCGTCTGCAAGATCGTCGGACGATCATTGGGTGTGGCGCACCTACAGCAGAAGGGAGCGCGCCTTCCACGACAAGGACATCGATCGCAGTGGCTCTCTACGAAAGCCCAACCAAAATCAGCTGAGACGCGAGCCGACAACACGGCGCCCGCTGCCCGGCGAGCCGGAGAACGATGAGATCGAGGACTATGTGGATGTGGAGCCCACAGTGACAACGTCGCCCAATGTGGGCACGCGCCAATATAATCCCTATCCCAGTGGCAATCCCTATGGCGGATTTGGCGGCCAGCCAGCGAGTGGAGGCCAGTTTGCGGGCCTTGGCGGCTTTGGAGGTGACAATCCAGGTGTGCTGGTCGGCCCGGGAGGACCTACGGGCATTATAGGCAGACCACCTGTAAATCCCAATGTCTACCAGCCAGGCTTCGGCGGTGCACAGAATGGATTAGGAGCAGGCAACTATCCTGGTGGTTTCGGAAATGCGGGCTATCCAGGACTGGGTGCTGGACTAGGAGGCTATCCAGGACTGGCCGCTGGAGGAGCAGCTTATCCAGGATTGGCCGCTGGAGGGGCGGCTTATCCAGGACTGGCTGCTGGAGGAGCAGCTTATCCAGGACTGGGCGTTGGTGGAGCGGCGTATCCTGGTTTGAACTCAGCCTTTCCAGGCCAGCCCGGTGGACAGCTTGGCGGCGTCGGTGGCGCTGGCAATCAATATCCGTTTGGCTCATATCCAGGCTCCAACTACAACAACAATCAGTTTGGAGCACAAGGTGGACAATATCCCGGACTGGGGCAATATCCATCCAATCAGTACGCCGGACCGCAATACACTGAGGGCTACGGCTTGGCCAACTTCGGCCCGCCAGGTCTGCCACCCACCGGATTTGGTGGCAACTACGCGGGTTTCGGCTATGACGAGAAGTCGCCCGCCGTGGCTGAGGGCAAGAGTGCCAAAAGTGTGTCCATCAAGCCAGCGGCAGTAAATGATAAGTTAAATAAGAAGATCTAGAGCCAGATAGATCACGATCTAGTAGCAATGCTCCATCTCATAGAGTTTAGTGCTTAGGATTAGTTTTAGGTTTAATGCGAATAAAATTCTGTGGAACACTCACCAATCGTGGTTATGACTATGATGGAGTAGAAAAGTGAGCCGGCGAAGGTCCATTGCGATTTGAGCAGATCCTCGTCGCCATCCCAGCCGTCTGTCTTGATGGCCGTCATGATCTGCTTCTCAAAGTTGGCCAGGTGCTTGCTCACATTCGCCATCCAATCGCTCTCCCGCAGCACGACCGCATCGTCGGAGAGCAGCCAAATGCGCTCGGTGAGATTGAAGCGCAGATTCCGTATGTCCCGCTTGACCTGCTCGGGCAGTGCTGTTGGGTAACTAAGTCTCTTGGGGAATTGGAATAGCCAAGGCAGTCTCTCACCTCAATTTCGTGCGGCCGTTCGAGGTGCTGAAACAAATAGGCGCCGCCCACGCAGTACGAGACGACGAGCAGCACGAGCAGCACATGGGAGACGATGCAGCTGAACACCTTCCACGAAACGCAGATGGCAGTCACACAGCGTCCACGCTCCGGCTTCACCGGCTCCAACATGTGCGGCGGCAGGGACTGGGCTCGCCTGCTCGACATGCTGATGCACCCAGAGGGCTATGCGTCTTCCCTTGGCCAATTTCGCGGTTCGCTGCGCACAAATTATGAAATTGTGAATCGGAATTTGAGAAAAGAGCACGCACTGACAAAGTCGGCTAATGAATGCGCTACACTCAATGCGAATATCCTAAATTTGCTGTGGGTATATAAATCAGATATCAGGGCAGGGCGCGGGTGAGGCAACAACTTACAATTACAGGTGGGCCAAGAATGGGAATGGGAATGGGAAATCCCAAATCTCACACATGTTCATTAAAATTTGTCTAAATATTTATATAGTCGACTCGCACCGACGGCCTCGCAAGGTCGGGTAAGTGGTTTGGGAGGGACGCAAACGTGCGGCCGTGTTTTATGGAAACTATTTTGGGCAACAACATCAATCTCATCAGCACTGCCAGCACAGACAGATGGATGGTTGGACAGGCGGACAGACGGACGGAGCCAACCAAGCAGGTCGGGCTGCTAAGAAATTTTTACTTTTCATAGTCTAAATACTAGCCAGACAGAACCATATGCACATCTATGTATACATACATATATATTTATACAGAACTTGATGAAGAAAGAGCCGTAGCTACATATGTGTATAAGATGTCTAAATAATTAGTTTCTTTGATTTCAATTGATTTCCTTAATGGGCAATTATCTGTTGAAATTTAATGAACTTGTTGCCTGTTGAGTGCTGAAGGCATCATTTACATTTATGTATGCCAAATTTTCTTGAACCGTACCGCACTATATATATTTCTCTTTGCACTCCAAGTACTTCCAACAGTCAATTCATTTTCTGTTTTGTGAGCAACGTTGCGTCTCGACACTGCGTAGCGATCCCGACGACTCTCCAAAGATTACTGAACTATTTCTCTGATCAGCAGCGATCGCCGATCGGCGAGTGGTTTATTTTAGTTGCTTGTAGTTTTTCTATTCTGAATATTTTGGAATACTTTTTGTTTACTTTTTGGCGTAGCGCGCAGTTCACTTGTTCTCCCGAGAACAAGAGCTGCGACCAGCAGCTGATCTCAGACAAAAGAAATTGAGTGCAGTTTCTCTTTCAATTTAATGGTAATAGGTAGTAATGTCTGCATAGAATTCTCTTAATATGTCATATCAGTGCTTGTTAAATTTGATAGAATGTTAAGAACTAATTATGGAAAATCGATTATATATGTATATAACTATATATAGATGGCAACTCTCTTTCAGGCAGGATTTAGTGGACGAATGGAGAGCATGTTGAGCAGACCTGATAGCTAGAGCAGAAATGAAAGTCTATCAATGGGCATTCCTCGAGTTAATCTGATTGATTAGATAACAAACAACGACAGAGGCGAAGGGGAGAGAATGGGATAAGAATCAAAGTTAAATCAATTTATTGGCTAATTTAGAGTTCATCAATCGATATCCAACATGCGAAATGAGCCATCCAGGCCGAAGGAACTCTGGCAGTCTATATTGGCGGAGTTATCGTCCCTCAGCTTCTCGTTGGCGCCAAATAGATGCGATTGCTCGAAGTATTCCCCGTAGCTTAGCATTTTGGACTCCATTTGCCCAATGATGTCCTGCATAGTGCCTCTGCTGCCTCCGTACTCCTGGGGCAAATAGTCGCGTTTAACGCACTCAAAAATTGCCTCCGGATCGGAGCTGACAGAAACCTACAAAGAATTTTTGTAAAGTCAATGAATATTTTATCTCATGTATATAACTCACCCGATTCTTAATCTTCGCAGGAAAGAAGGCACGCAGCGAATTGAAGCCGCTTTCAAACGACGCTGGCACATTAATGAAGTGAATCCCCTTCTGCCGCGTAGGCATGGCTTCATCCGCAAAGGCTGAGAACTTGCTGAGCAACTGCGGCTGCAGTGCAAAGAGGTGGGCAGCAGTAACTCCTGCCATATCCATGATCTCGATATAGCCGCTGACATTCGCATTGTCGTCTTCCAGCATCATGATCTCACCAAACATAGAGCCCACCCGAATGATGTCCTGGAACTTGAACTTCTGCGTGTCGTAAGACCCGGCTCGAATAATTGTAACAGCCGGACCGGTGTCGCCCACATCCAAGGGTATCCTTAGAATAACACTTTAAAGAGAAAACTTTATTTGGACGATCTATTTTAGAGACTTTTCTCTGTCTACCCCATCCGAATGATTTCCAGCACCTGAGCATCGTCGGCTAAACGATGCTCGTTGAACACCTCAGGTATTCTAGCCTGCAGCGTGTAATACCGATCAATCTTGTGCTTGGCCTTCTCCAAGCTGAACTTGCTACCACGCAGAAAGCTCAGCAGGAACTGATCCGTGAGGCAGCAGCAGAGATGCGGCTGCTTCAGCAGCCATTCCCGTAGAGCAGCAATATCCGAGGGGACACGATCCGGCACCTCGTTCAATTCATCGATAGCTTTACGTTGAAGTTCCGCTGGCAACGGACGCACTCCGGCGGATTCCTTTATAATGCTCATGGTAATCAGATGCATACTGACAAATCGATCAAACGCAAGTTGGTCACAATGCAATTTTAGCAGGTGAAACTCTATTAGTCTAATACGATAAGAAACAAAGGCAAATATTCGAGCTAATCTGTCTATAGATTAGTGTGCCCCTAGAAACATGTTGTTGTTAAGAATCTTATCTCAGTCTTGCCAGCTGTTGAGCTCCAAAATAAGTAGGATTGTGGATAAAAGTAGGTTAGAGTGTAGGAAAACATTCTGGAGTAGCGATCTACATGTAAAATGGAATAAGACATACTAAATGTAGCAAATATATATACAATTATTATTATTTTAAGTATGTCCACAAAGGTTTCCCTCTAAGAATTTCTTCTAAGTATTTCCTCCAAGAATTTCTTTTTTTACATTAAAGAATTTTGTCTATGTAATTTCTCTGTGAGAACAAAGCCGAGCTATATAATTTCTCCAATAATTTCCTTTCAGTATTTCCTCTAAGTCTTCTCTTCCCCTCACTTCACCTTCACTTTACAGCTTTACACTACTTTGACTCCCAACAGGCATCAACGACTGCAGAAATGCTGCAGCTGCTGCCCTATATATAGGGCAGCTTCCACTCACACTCTAGGTCGCGCTCAAATGTTGTGTCAGGTAGCAGTCGAACTTTAAGTGACCAGTGAGAGCACTCTCTGCAGCTGCAAGCATTCTAGTTTCGTCTCACTCAAACAAATACACCAAGTGAATACTGCTGCATACACATAGGCAACGTAAATGATCTTCTCCGTTCATTGCTCTTCAATGCATACAGAGAGACAGCCAGGGCTAGATCTAGCTTGAAAAAGGTCTAAGCTGGCACTAGATAATTTATCCAAATCGATATTGAATTAATTAACACTTTAATTTAATTTATAATAATATTATACAGGTGCAATTTAACTTCATTATTATCATTCGTGTATTTACTAAAGTTTAGCCCGTTGGAACTGCATAAGGGTTAACAATGCGCAGCTATTTTGAATGCTAACTAACAGGAGCACTAAAATGCGCCAACTGCTGTTAATGATGAACCAGCGCAAAAAGCAGAAAAATTCACAGATTTTTTAATATTGATTAATATATTTGGTTTAAAAATGGTACGAAATTACATTTATAAAAATTAATTAATAAATATAATATTTATCATACGTTTATAAAATATGTAACTCATTTATATTGGGTTTACAGATACATAAATATCGACCATCTCTAGCACTTGGCAATAACAGTGTGCGCTAACAGCAACAGTCAACTGTTAGCTAACAGCACCCCACAGTAAGTTAACAGCGCCTTTCAGAAGACGCACTCATAAATACAAATAGAAATAGATAAAATAATCAAAATTGAAAAGCGCTAATTTAGTAAAGTTAATAGCGCGCGTTTAAAGTACGTTTACAATATCAAAATTAATTTAGGCACATACACTTTTTACACGAAAACACGTGCGATTTAAATGCGCTTTCAAGTCAGCAATTTCGGGACGTAAACTGCATTGCAATTCACTACAGCAGCCGCTTTGCTAAATTAATACTAAATCAACGTAAGTTGCCAAAATACAGAAGTAAAAGTGTGCGTTGGGTCATAAGCTAATGATAGTTGCAGTCAGCAAAGGGCGTCGCAATGCCACATGCTACGGCAAAGGCTACGGCCGTCGCAACGGTAGCAAGCAGTCCGTGTGGGTGGCATATGCCCAGCGGGTGGTTGGGTGGGTCACATGCGACCCCCCATGCGTCAAGGGCAACCACGGCGCGCCGCTGCAAGGTGTCGTAAGTGCCGCGAATTGTCATTCAACAATTCAGCAAGTTTTAAGACCTTAATGCCGTGAATCTTGTTTTCGCAAGCACTATGAGCCGGGCCGTGATTCATCCGCGTCGTAATTCGCCAGATTGACGTAATGTGCATATGCAAATGTGTTAAAACTTTCAATTTGTGTGCTGTCTATTGCAGCCAACCCGTTTCTGAGATCCACCTACCGGAGTAAGAATGCAAAACAATCCCAGTCCACAGTTACCATGCAAGGGCATTTTAAAGACTTCGCGCAGCTTTGACAAGTCGGGCGCCAGGTGAGCGCAAGCAACTCTGACCTTTTAGATTAGCCGGATGGGCTAAACATAATTCGTTTCATTTTTCGTAATGCTCGCAGTTTTCGCAAAAGTGCCAAGTTCGATGAGCTAAATGTGCTGCAAACATTTCATCCAGTCGACAAGGATTATGGACACATGAAAATCGATGAGCCAAAAACACCTTACAACTACACGGAGCCATTTAATGAGAACAAAGACGAGCTGGACACCGAGCTGCTGGTCGAGAAGTATATCAAATATCCATACCCCTGATAGGCGTTACCTGACTCTGTTTATTTATATCTCGTTTCAGACTACGTATTGCTGCCAGCTCACAACAGACTTCCCAAAGCATTGACGATGAAGGGTCTTCCGGCGATGATCAGCCCATTAGCGAAGAGGAGCGACGTAATATGAAATACTATACATATATATATGTATAAACAATGCCCACATATTTCTCTAAAATATTTGTGTCATATTACAGAACGGCGTCGTGAATTCGAGAGGCGTCGCAAAGCGCATTATCGCGAATTCGAGGCAGTTAAATTGGCTCGCAAATTGATTCAGGAGGAGGACGATGATGATGATGACGATAATGATGTAGCGTCTGGCTCCAACGAGGCCTCCAGTTCCACCAGCTATGCGAGCTGCTCAAACCAAAAGCCAAGTCTAAAAGCAACCACATCCGCGTCCACCAATGCCAGCAATATCAGTACCAACACCATGGAGCTGGAGACATCCCACAATTAATAGCAATACGTTAAAAACAATATCAAACAGGGTTCTAACTGGCGTTAATTGTTGATGTTATTGTTGTCCACGTTGGCAGCTCATCCGAAACTTAATTTATTGCAACGTGATGAATGAATTGAATTTACATTTACATTTACCCAGCGGGTCGGGTAACGTTAGTATGTTTCAAATCGCAGCAGGCGCTAAATTGTGCTTTCCATCAATGAAATTATATTGCAAATGAAATAGAAATTTAATGAAATTACGCTGCTGGATATTTTACAACTAAAGTGCACATTATAAACTAATAAACGAGTAAATATATATCTATATAAATTGGTAGAGTTATATATAGCCGAATGTTTCTTTGATCTGATCTACTATTTGTTCTCAATCGATTAACTGAACTCAAATCTTAGTCCAAAACTCCAAGCAGAACGCATTCATATGCATTTAATTTTCAATAAGTGGAAATTTAATTTCTCATCACACACAAATACACACACAAACATATATATATATATATATACACACACACAAAAGTGCCACAAGAGAAAAGTAAATAATGATAAGAATGTA